GTGAAAAAGCACTCTTCAAAGAATATAAATGAAACAAAGATGAAGTCACATAACGTTCAAAAACTTAATTTCATTTCAAAATTCGCTCCAGGTTAGAACAAGCAAAAATCTCTTTCTTGCTTAATAATCCAAAGCAAAGGCCTGAAAAAAATAGCACTCAAGGAGTCCTACCATATCTCCATGCCTTAAACAAAGAATCAAGCATGTGTATAGAGACATTCATGAATAAATTTTCCGTATGGATTTGAATGAAATCATTGCAGTGAGATTCTGATGAGATATCCACCATTACATTCTACAAATTTTTTAAAAATAATTCTAATTCAATTCTATACTAGATATACTAAATTTCTTGTGCTGTATATATGTCCATCATCTTGCAATCATAGCCTTCCTTTTCCAATGGTTTGATCATAACCGTCAGAAAATAAAAGTGATATACTATTCAATTAGAGAGAGAATTCTGATATGAGTAGAAATTTTCTTATAGAGCCCTAATTGAGATTTGGGCTATATATTGTTTCACAAAATAACAATGTCCTAAAATAAGGTTTTCAACACATATGTAAGCGAGATAAATTTCTAGAATTTAAAATATTATTTATTTATTTATTTATTTTATTCACTTTATTTTATTGTTATATTTTTTTTTAAAAAAATAAGAAACATGACACTTAAGAACAAGCAAGATCTACAATATATTGTTCGAAAAATTTTCCAATTTAGAAGAAGCTATATAAATGACACAGACATTTGGGCTATAGTACATATTCTCAAAATAGGAAATCTCTTCTTATAGAGTCCTAATAAAATAAGGTTTTTATACATTTATAAGATTAAGATAAATATTCAATGTTTTATTTAAATAGCAAGGTTTTTATACATTTATAAAATTAAGATAACTATTCAATTTTTTATTTAAATAGCAAGAAATATGTTACTTTCTTAATTTTTATTTTAAATATGAATCTCTATTGTAAAATAAAAATTCCTTGAAAGATATAAATAAAAATTATCCTTATATGATAGAGTCCTAATTAATATGTTCTAATATATACTTAAATCTATACTATACTACGTATACTAAATTTCTAAGGATGTATTTGTGTCAGTCATGAACAAAAAATGGAAGACCAACCATCTTGCTTGAATAAATAAATTTTTTTTGAGAAATATTAGCCTTAGATTTCTAATGATGTATCCGCGTAAGTCATGAACAAAATGTGGCTGACCAATCATCTTGTTCGAATAATTTTTATTTTTTTTGGAGAAATATTAGCCGTAGATTTCTTGCTTTCCTGACAAACTAGGATCTCTCATTGCATAATAGATTCATATTCAACGGGGTTTCCTTGCCTGTACAAAAGAAAGATTTGCATTATTTTTTTTGAAGAAAATATGAGTTTGGTATTATTTAGATTTGTTATTTTTTAATTTTCAATAAAAAACGTAAGAAAAATATTATTTTTTATTTTATTTTTTAAAGTAATAGAGTATTTTTTTTTCCAACATGATTTCTAGTTAAACTATATAAGATGTGCATACGAAAAAAATTCAAAATTAATGTTCACATGATGCTTGCCTGTACATCACATCGGCTGTGGACTAGTTCAATTCCAAATATGTTAGAAGATAAGCTACAAAAGCCACGCTTCCCAGAATATTTGTTTTCTGTTAAAAGTCCTATTGTTCAAGTTCTAGGACCCAAGTGTCCTTTTATATTTTCTATGGGCAGTCTTGCTCTTTCATGTTTTTTTAATGATATATAACATGTTTAAGAGGCGCGTGAGGAGTTAGTCATGAACCTCACATCACTTCTCTTCCTAATGTCTCTCTTTCTTCTCTCTTCTTTCTCTTTTCTCTCTCTAGATTTTCTGACATTTTCATTTAAGGACTTGAAAGCAACATCTTTTCATTGCCCCTCTATTTTTGTCTGGGCAGTTGTTCCTGATGCTGTTAGTGTGCCCTTTCAACATTGTCTACAAGTCAACCCGGTTCTATTTCCTTCGGGTCATACGAAACATTGTGCTGTCACCATTGTACAAGGTACAACAACACTGGGCAGAGGACGTCTTACAAGCAAAACCCATATCATTGTTAAGTGAAAAGGTATCACATCTTCTTCTATGTTTTCAGGTGGTAATGGCGGACTTCTTCATGGCGGATCAACTTTGTAGTCAAGTAAGTCACGACTATTTGTTCCATGTCTTGTACGATAAGCTAGATCTTTAACCAGAAGAAGCCAAAACATTGCGCAGGTGCCAATGCTAAGGAGTCTAGAGTATGTAGCTTGCTACTATATCACAGGAAGCTACAAGACCCAAGACTATGGATATTGTATGCAGAGCAAGCACTACAGAGATCTAGCTTATGCTGTTTCCTTCTTGCCATATTACTGGAGGGCAATGCAGGTTGCTCCTTATGAAACCATTATCAACTTCTTGCCAATCATATAACAAGGGGATTTAACAAAATGTTTTATCTGAAACAGTGTGCACGGAGGTGGTTTGACGAAGGACAAGGAAGCCATCTGGTAAATCTTGGCAAGTATGTGTCAGCCATGATAGCAGCAGGTGCAAAAGTTGCATATGAGAACGATAAAAGCATTGGTTGGTTGTCAATGGTTGTCATCACATCGAGTGCGGCAACAGTATACCAACTGTATTGGGATTTTGTCAAGGATTGGGGATTACTACAACTTCAATCGCGCAACCCTTGGCTAAGGAATGAATTAATTCTACGTCACAAGATCATCTACTTCTTTTCCATGGTACACATATCTCTCTTTATCCCTATTCAATATGTTTTCTAGATGTGTAGTGTGAGAGGTTCTGTGATGCAGATCTTAAACCTCATTCTAAGGCTTGCGTGGTTACAAACCATTCTCCATTCCAACTTTGGAAGCGTGGATTACCGGGTAACCAGCTTATTCCTAGCAGCTCTTGAAGTGATCCGAAGAGGGCAGTGGAACTTCTACAGGTACAAGATTCATGATGGTACTGGTAATAAAATAATGCAAAGGCTCCTTGCATTTGAAGTTCTCAAAGCAAAGGTTCAAAATAGGCCTATCATTGAACTCTTTTTTTACAAGAATCATGCTATCCATAACATGGCTACAAGATAGGAAAGTCCTGCAGAATCTTGTTGGTTTCATATAAAAAAGGCGTCAAATGAGTTACCAAAGTTTGTTGGGATTTGGGGCAGAAATTCTCATAATCTCATTGCATTTTTGTAATGATACTTAACCAGAAAGTGCCTTTTCAAAATAATTAAAATATGTTTTGATTAAGGAAGTAATTGCAAGAGACAACCCAAATTTAGTTTTTATAATCTCTGTGAGTTATCCTTCAACTTCTGACGCAGCATCCTAGCCCCCTTCGTTTTCCAATGCAAACAAACACACACACACATACACATATATACATCTCAAGGTCTTATGGAAGCTGAGAACAATATTTGTGATGGCTTAGGTTGGAGAACGAGCATTTAAATAATGCTGGCAAATTCAGAGCAGTCAAAACAATACCACTCCCTTTCCATGAAGTGGTCGAGGATTAACTTTCACTGGCAATGGTGGATTGAGAAGCTGTTGCAATAATCCTATAAATAAAGCTTGCAGAATTTCCAAACTACCAATTGTTATTGGCAACCAAGGCTCATGTTGGAATCTTAATGTTCAACCATCTCGGATGTAAATTGTGAAAGCAAGCCCAATGGATCAGATTGGAGATCTTTCTCCAGCACATAATACAATTGCTGAGGGGGCAGCAATACAAGCCAAGTGAATATGAAATCATTTGCCATTGTACAATCCAAAGATGCATACATACTAGGATCTTAGTAATAAAGTCATGTATGAACTGACTTAACACTCAGTAAATTCATGTCACATTTCTTTGGATACTTAAAATAAGGATAGAGGCAAACTTTCTCAAAAGTGAGTGTTTGACAAAATTAAAAATTGCGTGTCTTTTACTTTTGCAGAAACAAATTTAAGTCGAGAATAATAAATAATTAAACATATCAGCCATTGGTACTTGTCTTATTTGTTGAGACAAGGTTAGTTTGAATTCACCAAGTCAAAGGTTCTTGGGTTGCTTCTCATTCTGCCTTTCAATCATGGAGATAGAATCTGGTGGCACACTTTCTTTTATCAAGCTGTTATCAGAGTGCCAGAGTCAATAGATAGTAAGAGATATTTGGCTTGTCTGACACTTTCTAATGCCACTGAGAGTTATCCAATTTGTTGAGCAACTAAACAGGGCCCTTCCTAGGGATCTTCTTCAGCGCCGTGATTTTGAGTTACCAACTTGTGTAATGGGTGAGAAGCTCTCACTGCATTTCCCCTTGACCAGGCTGATGATATGCAGCTCCCTGTTAGATAGATCCCTTTGTTGTCTCTCATATCAGAGGTGCATGGCAGCTACAGTGTTACACATGCATTTCATGCATTTTAGATTCCAACAACACCTGTATATGCCAGGTTCCTGTGATTGTTAATTTTGAGAAAAGAAATAAATTTTAGGTAAGGGAGGGTACAAATTATGAATAAATAAATTTATCCAAAGAAGCAACAGGAGCAATCCTTTATAGAAATAGAAAGGAGGAAAGAAAAAAGAGAGTTAAATTAAAAAAGAGAGTTAAATTCTGTTCTAAAAAGAAATAGAGGGAAACAGATATGAGGAAGAAGAAGAATTACTTTTCCGAGGAGAGGGAGGGACAATGGGAAACACTTCTTTTTTTCGAAGTCCTAGACAGTTTCTTTAATGCTTGTATCCTTTTTTCACTCTCCTGTCTGTTTTTCTTCATTTAGTTAAGCACAAATACAAGGCAACATGCCTGCCATTTTCTACCATAATCTGTTCAATTTTCAGCTTAAATGCCCAATTATGTTCATGCAATATCTATTTTTTAGGAGCTAAGCTGTAAAATAGGATGAGTTTGTTTGACTAAAGCTGTTAGGGAAAGTGATCAATGGGTTGGAAGGCCGTGGAGAGTTAAATCACCAGGTTGGATGTGGGTGGAGAGAAAGTAGGACCCATGCAGAGAAAAAAAAAACTTCTTTCAGATTAATTACATGTTATTGGGAGTGTATTTTACCATGTCAATAGCTGGAAGTATTATAATATCATTATAAATTCATTTTATTAGGAGATTATTGGAGTTATTAGTAACATTAGATCTTAACTTGATAAAATAAATATAAATTGAAAATTATAAGAGAATTGCCGCTGGCTACTATAATATTTCGACCCAAAAACCTGCACCCATATATGCTTCCTGTCTACTCCAAATCACAAATGCTACTTAACAAGCAACATCTTGATTTCTCTAATGCTCCTAATCATTCTGGTTTACAGACATCCTCCCAAACAGAGAATGAAACTTGTATCTGGCAATAGCTTTACATGACATGATATCTCCAAGATACAAGCAACAAGAATGGGATTTGAGGGCATATCTCAGTTCCCTTACATGTTAAGTAGGGATATTAATCAAATATGCCTAGTTTTCTTTCACAATTTTTTTTTTCACTGGGTCGATAGACTTTTATTTGCCTTCCCCAAAAATAAGGGAATCCCATTGCACTTGCTCATAGGGTTTCTAGCTTGCGTCTCAAGAGGAGAGCTTCTCCAACTGGTCCTTAGGAATTGCTATGCTCACCATTACGTTTTTGCAGCAGTTTTCTTTCATCATTCTCTAATTTAGGGATATATATTGGGATTATTTCATTCTTTGAATTCAGCCAACAAGAATGGTATGAGAATGTCCAATTCAGCCAAAACTGGACCGAACAACTCAACTAAGTTAACATGAGCCGGAATTGTTAAGAATAGCAGTCTTAGGAATAGCAGTCTAAGGACAAGCATGTAATTTATGTAACATTTATTGTGTACTAGAGCAGTGTTTATAGTATTTGTCATGTGCAACAATGGTCTAAGAAAGGTAAGGACCTTAAACTTTCCCTTAACCCGTCCCAAGCCCGGGTAAAGGGGGTGGGTTGTGTTAGGTAGGCAGCCAATGTAAAACTTCGCTAAAACTTTTAATGAATTTGGAATATATAATATTAGCCGAACCTAATTAGTTGGGAAAAAGGCTTTGACGATGATGATGACAACAATAGTTTGTAATCTGATTAACCCTAATTCATTTGTAACGCATTAAAGTAGGTGTCAAACCCTGAGCAACATAGGGGTTGTATGTCACATCATTTCTGCCACACACCTTCGTCTTGTTTGTTCGTAATTTGAATTTTTTAACATCGTATCAGACCAGTGATGATTTTTGTAGCCTGCAATTACCAAGCTAAGCCCTTTCTCTTCCCTTCTTTCCTCAAACTTATCTTCTACATTAAAGCCTCTTTCATTATTTCTCCTCTCCACCTCGATCCATCTTCTAAACAGATCTTGAAAAAATCGTAGTTTCTTTCTTTGGAGCCTAAGTTTTATATAAGAATGAGCAACAATGTAATGATGGATCATATGTTCTTTTTTCTTAAAAACGGTAGCATTATAATAAAGTATAGATATGATTACAATCCACGAGATGTGGGTGTCATCAACCCACAAATTGGGTGCCCAGAACATCAAAAAATCATATATTGTTGAGGACAATACACTAAAAAAATCAAATGTCAAAAGGGAATATCAAAAAACTAAGGTAGAGAGGAGAGAAGTTTGATAAAGAAAAGGTCGGAGGAAAAGGAAGAAAAAGGGAAGGAGAAAAAGAAAAGATTGTAGAGGAGAGAGAGGCGGAAGATAGGGAGAGAGACGCCGTGATGCAGGAAGGAAAGGTGGGAAATTGAATCCACCTTTCTCCTGAACCTCAAACAAGTAAAAATCAGTAATTATAAAGAAAAGACATGGTTGTAAATCAAGTTAAGAGAAGAAGAAATTTTTTCTTGCATAAAATAAAATTCATTCCAAATAACATAAGCATCTCAAAATTTGACATCAAACCTTCTATAAGCCTATTAAATCTTAAAATTAACTTGAGAACCAAGTAAACATTTAAGACTCTAAAATACCCCTAAGCAATATTAAAATTTCAAAATTTACCCCTGTAAACAATAACACATGAACAATGCCTGTAAACACTATTGTAAATAGTACCCATGAACAGTAACGATGAATATTAAACTAGAGAATAGTAAATAATATATATATATATATATAAAGCTAGAATTCCTAAAAACCTTAAATAACCCAAAAATAAACTCTAAAATTAAAATTAAAATATATAACTTTTGTAATTAAACAACAATTAAATATTAGAATAATTGTGTCTTGCATCACAGTGTGTAGAGATCGAAGAGTGTAAAAGAGAGAGGGCAGGGAGGTTTTCGAGAGAAGGGTGACAAGAGGGAGAAGAGAGACAACGTGCAGGAGGAGGGAATGACCAAAAGTTTGACATAAGTTTTCTATTAAAGCATGAGTCAGTGCATAATGATTGATCACAAGGTTGAGCCACATAGGACAGATGCTATTCTTAGAACGAGCTTGATATGAAGCATGAGTCTTATGAGAGGCCAACCCCATTAGAAATTAGAATTCAAGCTCATCATTCTCGCATGTAGACTAAATCCTATTAGGCATTCTAATCTTGAATGGATCGAGCATATATATATATATATATATATATATATATATTGCATATCTCCAAATAGGAGATTTGTTTTGATTGGCCTTACCCTAGGTTGACTTGCAATGAATGTGTATCAAAGAACTAAGGGATAATGTTCTTAAATTCCTCTCTAAATCATGATGGCTGATTTTTTGGATAGATGGCTCAGATATGTTTCTCTCTCACCTCACAGATTACCTAGAGTCTTATAGCCCAAGATGAAATCTAAATCAAATAGGCATACCTATACTCACCTGGAGGCTCTATATTGAAGGTAGCCCCCCTCATTCTCAGAATCTGAAATTCCTAGCCTCTCTCTCTCTCTCTCTCTCCTCTCTTTTATGTGTTTTCTCTCTCTCTCCTCTCTCATGTCCTAAAAGGCGTAGCACACACCACCCTGGAAAGCTTGGGGTGCCACGCTGCCCACAAGGTTCACAGAGGGGCATGCCCAGCTAACTTTGAGAAAAGGGAGGTGTCAATAAGGTGGTATGCTCTAAGAGTCTCAAAGAGTTTTCAAAACCTCTAGACGTAGCATATGCTCTCCTAAAATCTTAACATTTACTAAAGGTATTGCCTAAAGAAGCTTCCCAACTTGGAGAACTCAGCAAGGCCAATAGGATCATCATGTGCCATCGGTCAGGTAATCCGGTGTGGGGTGTACCTAGTCGTAAGGGGTTGACCCTAGGCAAAGTCAAATAAGTATTCCCAACTATTCTAAGTTTATTCTAGGTAATCGAGTATGGGTTGTCCTATGTTCTAAGGAGGTGACCCTAGGTAAAGTTAAGTTAGTCTTCCCAGCTATTCTAAACTTATTTTCAATCATTCTTGTTCAATTTATTGCAATTTTCAGGAACATTATTTTATTAAAATTCCTTGTTAAAGCTTATTAGTGAAGTGAGGGACCCAATTCCCATATGCATTTAGTTGAATGTTGAAACACACAGATGAGGCATAAGATGGAAGACAAATTCAAAAGCCATAAAGAGAAATATAGCAATAACTGTATAGTGAAAAGGATACATCTATATAAATCATTTTCTTGAACTAGTGGAAATTGAAAGGATGCCTATCATGCATGAGATGATTAAAAAAAGGAGGATTTCAAAGTAGACCATGAGAAATGCTCAAGTACCACTTTCTCATGTTATTCGTAATACAAAATGTACTATTTGGACATCATGCCTCGCTTATGTCTCTCTCGTGTTCATACTTTTATTTTTAAAGGGAGTGGTTTCTATAGGTTTAGGGGCTATATGTATATATATATATCTATAGGCGATTTTCAACAGTGTTTT